ATACTCATGTTAATTAATGTGACACAACAGCAAGAAAAATCAATGCAGATGAGTGTATATGCTTATGAGCACCACATAAATTATTGGCAGTTGCTAAATAACATTCAAAAACTCGATATGCTTAACTACACGAACACTACAGGAGACAAGTCTGAAATTGCTTGAATGAAAAGTACACACACTGTGGAGAAGGGTGTAATCATAACAAAATATAAGCCTGGAGGCTCAAAGGCTATATTCAATATTAAAGGTTTGGATAGAATGAGAAAACTTAAATATAGGCTAACTAATTAGTGGTGCTAGATTATAGTCCCTAGATTAAGTCGCTAGTACATCTAGATCTAGCATTATTGTTAGACCTGTTATTTCCATCTTTTTTAGTCTTAGGTTTGGATCCAGATGTAATAATAATGACAGAAATTTAGCTTTATACATCTACACTAGACCTTAGATTTGGGTGTATGGATTGAAAGCACCTTGTATTGAATCCACCCAGATCTAGATATAACCCTGCCTAATCAGTTTTAGATTTATTAGGCCTAACTTTTAGAACAAATGTTAGATCTAGATCTATTAACTTAGTCATTAGATCTGTGCCAGTGCAATGCCTAGTTTAATAGTTAGTATAGGTCTAGTATAGTATAGTATCGGCTACAAATTGTATGATGATGGACCTGGGGTCTAGAAATAAAGTTATAACTGCAATTAGACCTAAAGTCTAGTACATTAGTTGGTGTAAGACATGATTTACAATTAGCCAATACAATTACAAACCACTACATTAGGCCTATAATGTTTACTAGATCTAGATCTTGCCTGTTGCATATATTGCCAATCTTGCACACCAGCTAATATGTTACATCAATCTCATATTTTCTTTTTGTTGAACACACACTTACTTGTACGTTGTATTCTAGGACTTGTATTTGATCTACAGATGAATGATGGAATAGTGTAATTTACTTCTGTATGTCAATTCGGTCTCACTGTATTTCAGTGGGCGGCTTTTAAAAATTAAAACTGCAAGCGTAAAACACACAAATAACGTAACACTGTGTCATATTTACTTAATGTAGGGCAGTTGCACTATATCCTAGGGGAGAGCATAATTATTAATTAATAGGCATTATAGGCCAGAGGAAATTTTGTGCCCCTTCAAACCTGTGCCTGGGGGCGACTGCCCCCCTCTTGCTATGCCACAGGGTGTTAGTTTTACTTCTCTAAATGTATGTAATAGTTTCTGTACTTTGGGTGTGAAGATAAAAAAAAAGGAGGAAGAAACTCAATCAAATTTGGAAATATTATATCTCAAGTATTTCTTAATGGATAGTCTTGATATGTGAAGTAGGAGTCCAATAGAGCACATCCACTGAAAATATGTAGTAGTTTGGATTACCACAGTCCGAGCTATAGAAGGTGGAAAATTGCTAAACTATCACTCCTGTCAATAACACACAGTGTGTCCTGCAGGTTTTTTTTTTGGCTGCAAGACAAACTACCATGTGTCTTGATACACAGTATCATGCACTCATCTTACTCTTAAGACATTTTTGATTGGTTAAATACTTAAATTTATAAATTTTATGTGAAAGACAGGTGATGTAATATATTAAGGGTGGCCTATAAGTATGTATACAGTTGATAAATTGATAATTAATTTAATGATACTTTACACATGACATGGAATTATGGGAAAGTCAATCCTGCAGGTGTTCAATTTGAAACCTGTCACTGTTCACAGAATCCTGGAGTCTCCTGACAAACTTCTACAAATTTTCTGACACAAGTCTGTCCATCAAGTTCTGTAAATGCATCTGTGATGTACCCTTTCATTTCGAAAACATTCCACGATTTCCTACTGTACATTTTGTCCTTGAGTTTTCTCCAGAAGAAAAAATCCACATGCAACTGTATACCTACTTTTGGGCCACTCTGTATATGCATGTATTGTAACAATACTTATATTCAAAATATGGAAAAACTTGAAGTATTTACTTCACCTACCACAGCCACATGATGCTTTCTTGTTGTCCAGTCAGGTAACATTATTTTCTGATCTGAACTTGGCAACAGTTGAAATTTTACATTTCTTAATCTCCATAGAATATACTTAGAAGAAAGTTTAGATCATTATGTAACAGGTCTAGTTCCAGCTTTTCCTGTTTTGGGTCATCTATATTGCAACAGTTCACTAGCAAACCCACAGATTATGGTATATGCTTAAAAGAGAAACATAACCGTGGACAAATTATGTTAAACCTTATAATTACTTGTGGTGTAAAGTTTTATTGCTTTCCCAGGAGATACCTTTTCAGGTTATGGCCACATGTCTAGACTCAAACTTTCCACACAGTAGGACCTGGGACAATGAAGATGTATAATATTCTCC